TGACCTCGTGATCCGTCTGCCTCAGCCTCCCAAAGTGCTGAGATTACAGTTGTAAGCCACCGCACCAGGCCAAAAGTTTATGTATTTTAACTGGGCGGGGGGAGGGGGAACATTTTGGGGGAGAAAGAGGAAATTTTCTCATTAGAAAAATAATCACAGCCGGGCATTGTGGCTCACACCCGAAATCCCAGCAATTTGGGAGGCTGAGGCAGGCAGATCATGAGGTTAGAATACTGAGTCCATCCTGGCTAACACAGTGAAATGCCATCTCTACTAAAAATACCAAAAAAAAAAAAAAAATTAGCTGGGCATGGTGGCACACGCCTGTAGTCCCAGCTACTCTGGGGGCTAAGGCAGGAGAATCTCTTGAAACCAGGAGGCGGAAGTTGCAGTAAGCCAAGGTTGCGCCACTTCACTCCAGCCTGGTGACAGAGCGAGACTCCATCTAAACAAACAAAAAAATTAGCTGGGCGTGGTGGCACACATCTGTAGCTACTCGGGAGGCTGAGGCAGGAGAATCACTTGAACCCAGGAAGCGCAGGTTGCACTGAGCTGAGATCGCGCCACTGCACTCCAGCCTGGGCGACAGACGAGGCTCCGTCTCAAAAAAAAGAAAAGAAAAAAAAGAAAAAGAATCACCATATATTTGGTCTTTTTTTTTTTTTTTAAGCAGGAATTTGTACCCAAATGAGATAGCCAGCTATCAGCTAGATTTTCTTATCTTTAAAATGGGAAGATCTTTCAAGGCAAAAAAAATCTTTCTACACTAATTTTTCCCTTCTGGAGTACAACCTAGACATTTGACTAATATTACTAGCCTAATAAGAGTAAACCTTTGTAGATAGGTTTGCAACATACCTTGTGCTCTCGATAACATACCATGTGCTTTCACAGTGAGAAAGGAAGCATTGTGAATTAAGATTCTAGAGACATCAGTTCTAGTTTCAGTTCTGCATTATCCTGGTATTTACTTCACAGCAAATCACCAAGCTTTCCTAGGCCTCAATGCCTCATTATTAAACATAATAAAACATGTGGGGCAAGGTGCTCATAACTGTAATTCCAACACTTTTGGAGGCCAAGGCAGGAGGATCACTTGAGGCCAGGAGTTTGAGACCCACCTGGGCAACATAGTGAAACCCCATCTCTACAAAAAAATGAAAAAAATATTAAGAACTAGCTGGGCATGGTGGTGTGTGCCTGTAGCCCCAGCTACTCAGAATGTTGAGGTAGAAAGATCACTTGGGCCAGGGAGTTCGAGGCTGTAGTGAGCCACAGGAGTGTCAGTGCACCCCAGCCTGGGCAACAGGGCAAGACCCTGTCTCAATAATTAGAATAAAATGAAAGACCAAAGAACCAGATTACTTCTACAATCCCTTTCAGCCATAAAATCCCATTATTCTATGAGGTGCTAAATTAAGAATTTTGATGGCCGGGAGAGGTGGCTCACACCTGTAATCCCACCACTTTGGGAGGCCGAGGCAGGTGGATCACTCGAGGTCAGGAGTTCAAGACTAGCCTGGCCAACACAGGGAAACCCTGTCTCTACTAAAAATACAAAAATTAGCCGGGCATGGTGGTGGATGCCTGTGGTGCCGGCTACTCAGGAGGCTGAGGCAGAAGAATTGCTTGAATCTGGGAGGCGGAGGTTGCAGCGAGCCTAGATTGCACCATTGCACTCCAGCCTGGGCAACAGAGCAAGACTCCATCTCAGAAAAAAAAAAAAGAATTTTGAGAATCAAGATATCAGTGGAGACTGGACACAGCGGCTCACACCTGTAATCCTAACATGTTGGGTGGCTGAAGTGGGCAGATTGCCTGAGCTCAGGAGTTCAAGACCAGCCTGTCCATCCCCTCTCTGCTGAAAACACAAAAAATTAGCCAGGCATGGTGGTGCACACTTGTAATCCCAGCTATTCAGGAGACTGAGGCGGGAGTATCATTTGAACACAGGAGGCGGAGGTTGCAGTGAGCCGAGATCATGCCACTGCACTCCAGCCTGGGTGACAGAGCAAGGCACTGTCTCAAAAAAAAAAAGATGATCAGTGGAGACTGGGAGACCATCACTGAAGGGGAAGACAAGACCAGGCAATATCTGGATACCACAAGGAGAGACAGCAGGATCAGGCAGAGGGATAGACATGACATGAGGAGAACGGAGGTGAGCCAAAGACCGTGGTGTGATCCAGGCACACGCTGTGAAATGGTGACAAAGATGGGAGAGTTCAGTATGGCCTGGTTCTGAAGGAGCTCTGGTTATTCAAGCTCTTGAACCAAATCACAGCTTCACAGCGCGTCTGTGACACTTGACTGTCTATGATGGTGAGAGGGAGCTCTGGAAAATCTCAGTGGCAATGGGGCCCCTGACCCATGTGGTCACCCCAGTTGCTGCCCAGTGAGGATCTGCTGTGACTTGTAGCAAATGCAACTCCACAGGGGAGGATGAAGGGGACAGCCAGAACCTGGTTTGCTATGGAAGGCTATTTTCTCAGTAAAATATTAACTCTGCCATCTCTACAGCCAAGAAAAGGAGCACTATTGATTAAAAAAAAAGAAAAAAAACTGCACTGTAAAGTATGTGGATCAAAGAAGCCTGTTTACATAAAAGATGGTGCAATTTGTCTCATCTACTGTGGAAAAATCTCATTTTAAGCAACAGTGTTAAACCCCACCTGAGACAAACCACATCTTATAATCTAATGGCTTGTAAGGCCATTTGATGGACAGACAAAATAACCTTTCCAAATATTCATTCAAATAAAATATTCTAATAAATCCTATAGTGCTTTCTGATTACATCATCTGAAATCTTTACTGAACAAAATGAAATCTTCCCATGATGAGCAATATCTATCATATACTGATGACTCCTAAATGTGTCTCTCCAGCCCCGACCTCTTACCTGGCCTTCTGACTCATCTCCAAACTCTACCTCACAGCTCCACTGGGATGTCTATTAGGCATGTCAAACTGAGCAAGTCCAAATGAAACTCTTCTTTCCTGCCCCTCCCATGCATACATACACACCCACATGCCCTTCTACCTGTTCTAGCCAAAAACCTTACAGTGAGTCACCCTTGACTTGTCTCTTTTTCTCATATTCTCATCAAATCCGGCAGCATGCATATGTGTATGTGTGTGTGTGTGTGTGCGTGTGTGTGTGTGCGTGTATACATATATACACATATATATATATATATTTTTTTTTTTTGAGATGGAGTCTTACTCCATCACCCAGGCTGGAGTACAGTGGTGTGATCTCTGCTCACTGCAACCTTTATTTCCTGGGATCAAGCAATTATCCTGCCTCAGCTTCCCTAGTAGCTGGGATTACAGGTATGTGCCACCACACCTGGCTAATTTTTGTATTTTTAGTAGAGACAGGGTTTCACTATGTTGGCCAGGCTGGTCTCAAACTCCTGACCTCAGGTGATCCACCTGCCTCAGCCTCCCAAAGTGCTAGGATTACAGGCATGAGCCACTGTGCCTGGCCAAGCAGCCAATCTTGAAAAGTTGAGAATACATCCAAACACAGTCACTTAGCCCTTGCTCCATTTCACCAGTCCAAGCCATTAGATTATAATAGTTCTCCCCTTGCCCTGCTGCAGTCCATCTTCCACACAGCAGCTACAGCAATCCTTTTATGAAGCAAGTTAGATCACGCCCCTGCTCAATATGCATATCGCTTCCCATTTTACTATGAATGAGGGCCACAATCTTTACAATGGCCTCCTTGGGTCTATGTGATCTGTCTGCACCTCACCTCCTTTTTCCTTTGCCCTCAGTTCCTATCACTCTGCCCCTTGTTCACTCCACTTGTCTCACTGACCTCCTCACTATCCTTGAACAGTGAGTCTACCAAGTATAGTCTGTGACGACTGTTTAATCTTCCAGAAATGTGCTTTCCCCATAGCCTCGTGCTTGTTCCCTCCCCACCTTCAGGTCTCTGTTTAAACACTCCCCTAATGGCCTTTCCTAGTATCCTTCCCCAAATAAATTAATTGCACTCAAATCTCTGCTTCAGACACAGTGTATGGGGAAATTCACACTCAGATAAGAACTTATCTCAGGCAGCAATATAACTCTAGGATCACTCTAGCCAGGGTTGGCATAAGGGACTGGGAAGAATGAAACAGGGAAGAAAAGTATACCAGTAAATGGGGCATTATCAAATTAGTGACCACCTTGGATTTTAAGCTGCTTGGAGTGCACCTCACAATTACCCACTTTGGAGACGGAAAGGAAGATCATTTATCTTTCAGCTCCTTGCCACCATTGGTCATGGATTATTCTCCTGGGCATCATGCCCAACCATACTTCCAAGCTGTACGTGTGTAGGCAGTAAATAGATTTTCCCAAGCGCCCTGGGCAGAAAGCAAGACACAGGTAGGGCAGCTGAGGCGAGGCACTGTCAGACTACGCCTAGGCAGAGCTGGCCAACATGGTAAAGTTTTGAGGTATCCAATACAACAACTAATAATGTTCATTGCACTGTTTTTAAAGATGCAAGCAGATAATCTCACTATAAGTGCATCAAACTTACAAGACTGAGCAAGCATCCCTGAATAGACTTTAATGTTGTAATCAAGTAAAGTTTAAAATTGGCCTGAAAGTAAATTTTATATTCTACATAATCATAAATGACCACTGTTCTGTGTGACAGTCAGGCATATATGGTGCACAATAGATAGATGTAAAAATATAGTTACTAGTCAGTTTCCCAACATAATAAAGAATTTTTAAGGCCAAAAAAATAAGGCTCAAGAAGAACTGGGAGGCACAGGAGCCAACCCAAGGTTCTATACAGAGACCCACCCTCACCACCTCCAGGAACACAGCAGCTAGGCCTTTCCTCTTCTTGGAGAAAGGGTTCTATTAGCCCAAAGGTCAGGGCCATATCCTGGGGTTCTGCCCATACCCTTGTTTTAAGGGTCAGCACACCAATGTGCCAGATCATATTTTACTTAAGCCATTCCAGTTCCGTCTCCTCTGAAGCAAGCCCTGTGCTTAATTCTAAAAGGAGCAGAGAGTGCTGACAGTACTGGGAAAAGGAGGACATGGCACTGAAGAAGGAAGGGGTTGTTGTTCTCAGTATATCATGGCAGGAGGAGGGTAAGGATGAGCAATACAAATTATGAGATTTCAGGTGAGCCTCCCGCCCACCAAATAAAACAATTTTACTGAGGCCCCCAAGAAGTCCCATCCAGACTCAGCTCTGGGGAAATGTGTGTCATAAGAAGCCCAGGAGTGCCTCACAAGCCTCATGTGGAAAGTAAGTACAAAGGGTTTTTCCATCACATGCAATGACAGGAAAATCCATCTGAGTGGTAACTATGCTAACAAAAGAAGTAATTTAAGAAGGAATTTAAGCATCAAATAAACAGAACAGATGGAAAGCACCTGGGAGCAGAATAGTACGAGATTGATAGGAGACCCTCTAGGCCAGCAGTTGACCAATGGTAGTCACAGGCTGGCTCCAGCCCACAGGTGGTTACTATTGTCCCAAGTAGCATTTTTAAATATATTCAAGCCAACATTTACAAATTCGATCTTTACAAAAAGCTCCAGACTTCCATTGATAAATTGAAAAGCCAGTTCCACTGGACTTGCTAGTGACAACAAAAAGCTAGAGCTGAGTAGTGGCTCCCCCCCTTGAAAGTCCCCCACGGGGCATCCCCACCCCACTACTAGTCCCTATAGCTCTTGAACTTTTTTTTTTCCATTAAAGAAAAAAAAAATATTTCTTGGTTTCTATGTTAAAAATGGGAAAAAAAACAAAAACAAAAAAAAACAAAGACATTCTGCTGGTCACTTGATTTTTTTTCTTACATTCAATCTACTTCACATATTTACATGGTCTCTCTGGCCAATGTATGCATTTGCAGTTGAAACCCTAGACCAGACTGAAAGCCCCATGAGGGTAGATGCTATACCTCTCTTACACACCATTGTATCCCCAGCACCATGCATAGTGTCTGACCCACAGCAGGCACTCAATACTGTTGAGTTATAGACAGAGGGATGACTTACAGCACTTTTTAAAAGGTGGTGGGGAGGGGCCAGGGAGCATCACACAGCTACAAAACTATAAAGTGGGCCTTGGCAAATGAGCAGAATTGGTCTTCAGTATTGGTATACTACTTACAATGTGTTAGGTACTAATCGATACTTAACCAGATATAAGAAAAGATGCATTCTTGACTTTCCCAATCTTTTACACCAACATCTGACCATAGGTTTCTACTTCAGCATTTATTTAGACTGCAGGTAATAATTACCATCTTAATACTTCTGTTAAATCACTGTTAGATCATTGTCTGTACTTTTCTGTTTGCTTGAAAAAAATATATATTTTTTAGAAGTCTTGTTCATGCTTGACATGACCTTTGTCTTTTATTCTAAGATACAATAAGGCTATTTCTAAAGATGCTTGAAATCTTATTTAGTAGTATAATAAATCATCTACCAATAACCTTCATCTACCCATAGGTACTAAAAAGTGTAATTTCATTACCTGGTTGAAGTTCGTTCCTTTTTCCTTCTTTAGTAGACTGAACTAAACTTGCAGCTAATGGAAAAAGAAAAAAAAATTCCATTAGCAATTGATCCATATGGTGGCTTGTTAAAGCTTACCATTTTATACCTCAAATAGATGAGGGCTCAAAGAGATATGTCAACGGAAGATAAGGGCAGAACACAAAGCATTCTTTTTTGTAGGTATACCCTCCATATTCTGTATTTCAAACTTAACTTGTCAAGAACATTTCTTTCTCAGAAAATCATTGTTATAGAATAATACTGAAAGAATCTAATACTTTGAAACCCTTAAAAGATGTAGTTCAGTTCTTGACATGTAGCAGTAAGAGCTCAACTTACCAAGCAAAGTTCTTTCACTGTTGACAGAGCAACTGAAAACTTGCAAGTCTTTCTCAAAGGTATACAGAAGCTATTAAAACAAAAGTATTTTTTAGTTTGAAGTTTCATACATTAAACAACAATTATATGAACATAAATTCCCATTAAGCTCTGTGCTAAGTATTACTGGGGCAAAATATTTCAGTAAAGAATGAAACTAATTTAGCTATGCTGACACATTCCAGACTACTCTTTACCAAAAAAAAAGTTTGCTATTGTAAGCCATGTTTGGCACTGATATTTAGCCATGAGACAACCAAGTATAGTGGTTAAGAGCATAGACGTTGGAGCCCAGCAAGAACCAGGTTCAAATCCTGACTCTGTCACTTGCTAGCTGTGTGACCTTGGATAAATTATTCAGCTTCTCTATCCCGCCATCAGTAAAACACATCTACTCTAGGATTGTTAGGAGGATCAAGTGAGATAATCTCTATGAAGCACTTAGTGCAATAAGCACTCAAATGTTAGCTATTGTAATTACGGAGGTAATGAATTACAAAATAATCATTAGTTTTCTTAGCCACTGTCACAAGTGCATCTCCCATAGGCCTTTCATATTTAGAGGACCGGGAAGGTAGTCTTCTTTAATTTTTTTTCCTTGTTGTTGTTTAAAATGTTCAAAATGTTGCAAGATTCCATTTTTTTGAATATTAAAGAAAATGAAAATGCCCATGTAGGAGGATGTGATGTGGAGATTGAGGAACTAGAGAACACCAGTTCTATTAGGCAGGCTGTCTTAAAGAACACCCAGAGGATAAGGGAAAGAGACAGTCTTAGATCTCAGAAGACAACAGCCTAAGAGAAACAGTAAAGAGTATAAGTATTAAGAAGGTTACTAGTACCTGCACCCTAAAAAAGTATCGAGAACACACAAGACCCCTATAGCTAGAAGTCGATGGGAAAAGCTAGCAATGCTAGGGGACAACTGATTACGGAAAGTGAACTTCCAGTTAATCAGGTACTGAATTCATGTGAGAATTTTTGGTTTCCTTTGACTCTTGCTCTAACTGAGGAATTCTAAATTATTACTAAGAAGAATCTAATTCTAAATTATTACTAAGAAGAATGGGTACATACACATAATTTTTAATGTGTTATCTTTTAATTACAAAGATAACATAAGTATAGTCTCAATGTTTAAAAGATGGAAACGCTATCAAATAAAAAGTCAAAGCCAGCCTGGACAACATGACAAAATCCTATCTCTAAAGAAGTTTTTTTTAAAAATATGTCAGGCATGGTGGTATGCCTGTAGTCCTAGCTACTTGGGAGGCTGAGATAGGAGGATCACTTGAGCCCAGGAGGTCAAGACTGCTATGAGCCATGATTGTGTCACTGCACTCCAGCCCAAGTGACAGAGGGAGACCCTGTCTCAAACAAAAATAAAAGGTCAAAAGAAATAGCAGTCCTTCATACTCAGCCAATCCCAACTCTCTTCCAAAAGGAAGTACGTTTATAAATTGTCTATATTTATGCACTTATATTACACAGTTACATTGCAAGTTTTTAAAAAACATAAATGGAATGTATTAAATGTATTATTCTGACAACTTGCTTTTTTCATGTAACAACATGTTTTGGAGAGCCTTCTGTACCAGTACAGAAGTCTTAATCCTTTAATAGCTGTATCAATTTCCAAAACTTACTGATGGGCATTTAGTATGCCTCCTACATTTAGGTAATATAATAATCCAATGAACCTTTTACATAAACCTGTGTGAATCTGTGCAGATATTTCTGTAGAATCAAAACCTCAAAGTGGAATTTCTAGGTCAATAAGTGTGCAAGTATCAGAAGTCTTTAACTCCAAGCATCAAAAAATCTTCCCCAATCTAGCTTAGGCAAAAAGACAATTAGTGGCTCATGAAATTGAACAGAATGGGGTGTTACTTCAGTATTGGCTTGATCTAGAGCTGGAAATACCCATTCTCCTAGCTTTCTGGGTTCAATACATTTGTCAGTCTCCACACAATAGAGCTCCAAGTTCTATTCCCCAAAGTCACAGCAATTCCAACCCAGTGAATTCACTTATCACCAAATCCAATGGAAAAGAGAAGAATCCATGTCCCAAATTCCCAGCAAAGTATTATCTTTTATCCAACCAGTTTAGGTCATGTTCACTCTTGTATGCACTACCAGGGAAGTCCTACATGACAGAAGGTGGGAGAAAGAGGTGGAAGAGGGTGAGGAAGGAAAGCTATTGGCACTGTGCTTATGCTTATCCCATTACTTATGCTAATGGGAAGCATAAGTAATACATTGCTTCTCTTTTGCCGATTCCAGGGTAAGACCATTAACTCAAAACTAGAGGTGGGGCGGGGCAAAGTGGAGTCAACCCACTTATCCCTATTGCTCCCACCAAGTACAGTTTTAACACCCTGGACATATATTTTTTTAAGTTTCAAAGACGACTCTGAAATGCAGAGAGAAGGCAGCAGACTCTTTACGGACCCCAGATCCTGATGAATGACATAGTGGCGAGTTCCCTGGGTTTTCCTTTTGTGTCATACAGCCTAGACTCGGAGCTAAAGGGGTGAAAACAACAGAAATACTGATGGGAGCAGACAAAAACAAACACACATCCATGCTCTCTAGCCAAAGGAATTGGAAAGGGGAAACATAGCAAGAGAGAAACTTTTTACTATAACCACCCTAACTCCAGCTAAACACCACGAAAGAAAATGAAACCCCACTCCCATCTCTATCAGCAAAGTCTGCATGGGGAGCTTAGACTCCCACCTTTGCCCAGCTATAACAAGGCACCCTTCTCCCTTCTGCAAGATGAGTATCAAAGAAGACCAAAAAGGAAATCAGAACTTTCATCCATTCCCAGTGGTAAATAAGCCTTTCCCCACTAAAAGTGCCAGCAAAGCCACATGGATCCTGGACTCCCACCCAGACTCCAGTAGTAAAGAAGTCCCTTTCTACCTCCTCACTGGGATGGTGTCTGAGGTGGCTGAATGGGAAGCCAGAACTTTCACTACCACCCAGTGATAATGAGGCCTTCACCTACCTTTCCCCCATCCTGCTCCTCTGCAGTGGTATCAGTGGAGGCCAAGTGGGGAGACTGAAATCCCATTTCTGTCTGGCCATAACAAGACACTTCTCTCCACTAGAGTATCCAAGTAGGCCAAGTGGGGAACCTGGACCTTTGCCCGGCACAACCTAGCAGTAGTAGGTTGTACCACCAACCCCACTAATTCCCCAACAGGTAAATTATCAGAGGAGGCATGCTAAAGAGAAGACTTAAATAAGATCCAGAGTTTCATAATGTAGTCCTCGAAATGTTTAGCATACAATAGAAAATCTCATGTCATACCAAGAACCAGGAAAATCTCAAACTGAATGAGAAAACAATAGGCACAAGCACTGAGATAACAAAGATATTGGGATTTTCTGACAAAGATTTTAAAAATGGTCATAAAAATGCTTCAATAAGTAATAACAAGTACGCTCGAAACAAATGAAAAAAGTCTCAGCAAGAAATGGAATATGTAAAGAAAAATACAAATGGAAATTTCACAGCTGAAAAATACAATTACCAATTTTTTTTTTAACAAAACCTCCATGGGTAGGCTCAACAACATAGTGGAGAGGACATAAGAATCAGTGAACTTGAAAACAATAGAAGTTACCTAATTTAAATGATAGGCAGAAAACCGAAAAATAAAAGAAACAGAACCTCAGAGATCCGTGAGACTATAACAAAAGATCTACCATTCTTGTAATCAGAGTACACAAAAAGCGAAGAGAAAAAGATTGGAACATTAAGAAAAAATATTTGAAGAAATATTGGCTAATGACTAAAAATGTCCCAAATTTGGCAAGAAACTACAGATTCAATAAATGGAGTGAACCCCAAACAGGGAAAATCCAAACAAATCCATACCAAGACACAGCATAATCAAACTTCAGAAAACTAAGGAGAAAGAAAAAATTTTTTTCAAAAACAGCAAGGAAAAAAAGTGACATCTAATGGGGGGAAAAAATTCAAAAGACAGCAGATTTCTCATGAGAAACCAGAGAACCCAGAAGGAAATGGCACGTTTTTCAAGAGAGGAACAAAAAGAACTATGAATCCTGAATTCTATACTTGGCAAAATTATCCTTCAGTAATGAAAGGAAAAAAAAGACATTCTCAGATGAAGAAAACTATGAGAACTTGTCATCAGCATACTTACCCTAAAAAAAATGGCTAAAAAAAGTTCTTGAAAGAGAAAAGAAATGATAAAAGGAATGTTAGAACATCAGAAAGAACCATGGAAAGAGCAAATATACAGGTAAACACAATAGACTTTCCTTCTCCTCTTGTGTTTTCTAAATTATGTTCGACAATCGGGGCAAAAAGTGTAACATTGCCTGATGTGGATCTTAAAGAATGTATAGGAAATATCAAAGACAAAAACACGGGAAGGCAAAGAGACTTAAAAGGAGATAAGAGTTCTACACTTCATTTGAACTGGTAAAATTTCAACACCAATAGATCTTGTGGTGACGGAATAACTCTTTCTTGATTGCAGTGATAATTACAGGAATCTACACAAGTGATGAAATGGCATAGGACTATATGCACACATTCTGCTGACATTAATTTATTGGTTTTAATATATTATCCGATAGTTACACAAGATGTAACAATTGAGAGAAACTGAGTGAAGAGTACACAGGACATTGCTGTACTTGTTTTTCAAATTTAAAAACTAAAAACTTTTAGAGAAGGATGGGTAAGCATTAAGACTGAGAAACCATTATCCCATCCTGAAGCTTAATTAACAAGAGAAAGATTTTTTTTTCCTCTTGATGGCACCATCTTTCTCACGGTGGCACCTTTGCAAGGAAAAATATAGTGCTTGAAAAGAATTTTAGGCTGGGTGTGGTGGCTCACACCGTAATCTCAGCACTTTGGAGGCTGAGGCACACAGATCACGAGCTCAGCACTTTGGAGGCTCAGGCAGGCAGATCACTGGCCAACATGGTGAAACCCTATCTCTACTAAAACAACAACAACAACAACAAAAATTAGCTGGGCGTGGTGGCACACATCTGTAGTTCCAGCTACTTGGGAGTCTGAGGCAGGAAAATTGCTTGAACCCCGGAGGCGGAGGTTACAGTGAGCTGAGATGGCACTACTGCACTCCAGCCTGGCAACAGAGACTCCATCTCAAAAAAAAAAACAAAGAATTTTAAAGCCCATCTAGATTTGGCATACAAATCCATTCCTTCAATAAAACCATCGAAAGGTCAGTCAAAAACACATATGGGCTGTAAGGGTTGTGCTTATGTGGAGAAGAGATGGGAGAAGGGGAGGGTTTGTTTAGCAACTATGGTTCAGAAGCAAAATTTGCCTGTTTACAAAGCTAGTTTAAATTTCCTATTAATGTATCCTTTGGCCAATTTATTTTCTGGACTAATTTTCACATTTTGGAATTCAAAGCAGTTTTGTCACCGGAAAATTTTTGAAAAACAGCCACTCTGGAGGGAACCTATTACTATCAATCCATTGAAAAATATTCACTGCACTCCTACCACTCACAGGCAGTAAGCTAAAGGTAACCGGGATGAAACACATTGGTATGCAAAGTGCTCCTACTGTCAGTGCTCACAGTCTTGGGAAATGTGAGCAGAATATGACCACAAAAGATAACAGCAGTCACCACAACTGGATTGAGAGAAGACAGACTATGGTGTCTCCTCTCAATCCATTTTTTTAGAATACATGCCACACAGAAATTAAGCAACAATTGCACTGAAAACTTGATATTTTATTCTCTTTCCCTAGACTGTGTATTGTGAAAGACTTTACGTTGATCATCACTGTGTCTCCAGCACCTGACAGGGAAAACACTCAATGTTTATTTGTCGGATCAGTGAATGAGTGAGTGAATGAATGAATGAATGAATGTGAAAGGGGTGGAAGAAGGAAGAGAGAATTAACCAAGCAGCATATTGGAACCCTGAAGAGTAAGGCGACCTGTAAGAAATTTCTAACGGATAAAGGACATTTAAGTTAAAAAATGTCCAATATTCAATTCTAAATTGTTTTTACATAGGCACAAAATTACTCCCTCTCATTTGCTCCCAGAATTAGACAAAGTCGCCTGTCACATCAACAAATGCCTTATGTGAGTAATCTGGGGAAAAAAATAAGGAAAGGGGTTCCTTGTCTGAATCATTAAGAAATAATGAGAAACAAGACACGTGAAGGTTAAGCAGAAGCAGAAAGAGTCAGAGGTCATTATACGATGATGTGGAAGTACACAAATCTCAAGGAGGACACTGGACCTCCTACTTTCTTACAGGATACTGAATAATTTGTTTGAGCCAATTTTACTTAAATCTCAAAGGTCTAAGAGACTTCACCTTACTATTTGGTTCAATAGCCCTTGTGTTTTTTGTTTAAGATAATAGGACCAAGAGATCATTAAGGGATAAGAGAAGGAAAGCAAAGAAATACAAATTTTTAGAAAATAAAGTTGGTATTCCCACTCCTAGATATGCATACAAAAGAATTTTAAAATAGCCACGTATACAATAGTGTTCATAGTAGATAAATGTTAGAAACAGGTGCCCATCAACAAATAAAAGAATAAAACTGTTGCATATACTGTGATAACTGATTGCATGAATTGGTGTTATTCTGTCATACTCAATTGAGTTAAATCAAGAGATCAGGAGAGGAAAAGAGAAGCACACGGGGCACAAGTGCCTGGCCAGGTGTCTTGCAAGCCAGCTGCCAAAATGACCAAATGCCATAAACTTAAGAATAGCTTCACCTAGTAGCTACTGAAACAAACTGCCATGGCTCTGAAACTAGTTTTACCTACTGCTTTCACACACCAGTGAGATCTTGCCAGCTCCTAGAAACTTTCCTATTGCCAGTGAGTTTTCTTTCAAAGCCATATGTAACGTTTCTCTTTCTGATAAAAACCCCCAAACTTTCTTAGTTCTTTGGACATACCAAAGACCACCCTGGCCTGTGTGCATGTCTTAAATTGCAATTCTGTTTTTTCAAATAAAATGTTTAGAGAAAAAAGAAAATAAAGTTGGAATTTATGTCTAGAAAAAGGAGGAGACAAAGAAGAAAACTCTAAAGGCAGTAAAGTAACCAATGAGTAATCTATGATTTATGGTGATTTTTACCTCATTTTGTCTGGTTTGACAATCATATAATCCAAAGATGACATTTCCCTTATCATCCTAAAAAAAAAATTAAACAGATGTTTATTAAATGTCATTGTTTAGGAAGTTAGAATGTTACTAGTTTTAAAACCAACCTGCAATAACTCAATCTTAGCAGTAAGTAATTTAAAAGAAGCTTTCTGTGCCTGTCAGAGGGGGACTGAATCCAGTTTAGCTAGTCATTTGGGCTCAAAGAATGAAATGCATCAATAGTGTAGAGCTCAGTGAATTTGAGGAACTGTCTAGTAGGACTGAGCATGGTGAAGGAGTAAATCTTTTTATACTTCCACTTATGTCTTTGAAAATATACACATATGATAGATAATAGGGATGCCTAGGACAAGTCCATAGCATTCTTATATGTAAAACATTGTGAATCACACAATTCCTTAAAGGTACCATTCTAAGACACAACTTACAATAATTATTTTTACTTAAAAAAGTACAGTGATGTAACTGTGCAAAGCAAACTGGCCACTTGAATTATTCATGTGTGCTTATTATAGTAAAGCTAAATTTTCCTTAGAACACTTGACATTGAAAACACATTGTTAAATAACAATGCTGCACATGCCTGTAGTCCTAGCTACTGGGGAGGTTGAGGCAGGAGCTCAAGGAACCTACTTGAGCCCATGAGTTTGAGGCTGCAGTGAGCTATGATTATGCCACTACATCCCAGCCTGGGTGACAGGGTAAGACCCTGTTTCTAAAAACAAAATAATAACAATGCTTCAAAAGTCAAGTCCTAACATATCTACGTCTGAAGAGACTAATCATATTTAATATTTTCTCCAATGATAAAATGTTAACATATTAATTAGGTTTAAACATTTTTACTTGGCATTTTTTGTCTAGAAAATGAAATTGTTCATTGATTCAAAATTTGAGTTATTATGTCAGATATGCCCATTTAGTTTTATTTTAAAATGAAGAAACATTTAATACTAATTTTTTTTTTTTTTTTTTTGAGACAGGATCTCGCTCTGTCACCCAGGCTGGAGTGCAATGGCACAATCTCAGCTGACTGCAACCTCCACCTCCTGGGTTCAAGTGATTCTCCTGCCTCAGCCTCCTGAGTAACTGGAACTACAGGTGTGTGCCACCACGCCCAGCTCATTTTTGTATTTTTTTGGTAGAAACAGGGTTTTGCCATGTTGGCAAGGCTGGTCTCAAACTCGTGACCTCAAGTGATCTGCCCGCCGCAGCCTTCCAAAGTGCTAGAATTATAATGTGAGCCACCATGCCCAACCTTATACTACTAAATTTCAATCACTTTATTCAATCTCACACACACAAAGCCATAAGATTAAATGCCAACAAGTTTATTCATTACCCCTCAATAAGATACAGTATAGAATTCTGTAAAAAGAGAATATAAATGATTAAAAACAGTATATTTTACATCTTACCACAATAAAAAAGAATATAGACATACCTTATATGTATAAATAATATTTCCATTTCTTTCAACATTTAATACACGTAAGCTCTCATAATCGTTTTCTAAAACATCTGAAATGATAATAGCAGGTTAATACTCAGCAGAAGATGGTTAGAAACATATCTAACCAATATATTAGTAAAGGAAACCAAATATAAATATATACTAATAATTCTATTATATAAAACTTAAAAACAGGCGAAACGAATCTCTTTTATTAGAAGTCCAAACAGTAGTGACCTTTAAGGAAGGAGAAAGCCATAGTCATTGAGAGGTATCTCAAGTGAGCCTTGTTAGGTGTTGGTAATGTTAAATGTCTTGGGTATACTGATGTACTCTATGATAACTCACTGAGCTGTATGCTCTTTTCTGTGTGAATGTTATACAATAAATTTCAAGTATCTGTTAGTTTTTGCTTTATGCATTTTGAGGATACATCATTAAGGGCATACAAATTTAGAATTGTTATAGCCTCCTGGTGGATTAACCACTGTTAGGCTCTAAGCTGAGCTGCCAGCTGTCTGAGTACTCAATTAAAACAAGATTAAAAAGTTAATATTAACTTTTTAACAGTCAAGCTTTTAATCACTTACTGTGATGCTATAAAGCAAGAGGCTAAACAAGAGAAAGTGCTAATGTCCCTGGTCTATTTTCTCTCCATGGAATGGTGCCGTTAGCCAAGGGTCAAGTGAATCAGCACAGATATGGAGCTCTCTTCACTATCGAGGGACCCTCCCAAAAAGGTTCCTGCAGTATCATGGATCCAGGTGCCAAGGGTAGGGAGAGGGAGAAGAGCTAGGAGTGGAAAAATATTTCACTGGAGTAGAGAAAAAGCAGTCTTCAAAGCTCCCCTCTTCCACCTGCTAAGGTGGTTTTAGTGGTTTAGAGGCACCTGAGAAAGTTCTCTGCTAAAGGCCTCTGATAAAGAGGCCTCTAAATGAAGAACCTGGGCTAGGAATGCAGCTATCTGTAACAGTATGGCTGGCCAGTGGGGCCTGAATCACACCCGTAACTCATTTCAGGGACTACGGTGCATTGGCCACACACCAAGTCGGATTTGAGGAGGGCAGCTTTCTCCCCTAAGGCCTGTCAGATAAAGTCTTTGTAACTGCACATGGTTGGGTCTGAAAAATTACACATAAATTTTTAAAATAGGAGCTGGATTAGCAACCCTTTATTCATTATACAACGTCCTTTATTTCTAATAATTATTTTTACTTTAAGGTCTACTTTGACATTAATATAACTACATCAGCTTGGTTAGTGCTTGCATAACTTTCTGTTATTAATATTCCTGTGTCCTTATATTGAAGATATGTTTTATAAGCAGTATCTACTTGGGATTTTTTCCTCCAATCTGACGTTCTTAATCTTCTAATTGGGGTATGTAGTCCATTTACATCTAATGTAATTACTAACATATTGGGTTGATATTTGTCATATTACTATTTGTTTTCTATGTGTCTCACCTGTTGTACTACTCTTCTGGACTAAGTTTATGATTTCATTCTATTACCTATTAACTTGTCAGTTACATGTTTTTGCTATTCTTTTATTAGTTACACTAAAAGTTATAACATGCATCCTTGACTTATGTTTTAGTATTACGTGATGCAAAAAAAAATCTGAAGCAACTGAAACTCTCATACATTGTTAATAGGAGTATAAATTGGAAAACTGGCAGTACCTAGTGAATCCGAACACATGACTCAGCAACTACACTTGTACATATATCCTCAAAAGAAATATATACATATATTTAGCAAGGGACACATAAGAATGTCTATAGTACTGTGGTACATTATTGCCCAAACCAGAAACCCAAACTATCCATTAAGTGAAGAATGAATAAATTGTGTTATATCCAAACAATAGCACAAAACAATGAATTAACATTCTGCAATAACACATATAAAACTGAGCAAAAGAACCTTCCCCACCACCAAAAGAAGGTACAAATTGTATGTTTCAATTCATACACAAGTTTTCGATAATAGGCACAACTAATCTACAGTGTTAGATAAGTGACTACTAGAAAGGACCATGAAGGACTTCTGAGGTTCTGTTAATGTTTTCCTTGCTGTTCTGAGCCCTAGTTGCATGAGTGTGCTTCACTTTGTGAAAATTAACTAAGCTGTGAACTTATAACTTGTGTCCTTCTCTATATGAAAGCCATATTTTGCGGAAGGACATACAGACTCTTTACACAAAACATTTAACTTATAAGTTAACTGACCATCTTTCTTCTAAAATTTTAGGATATTTCTCCTAATTCTACAGTTAAAGGATTTAAACATTGGTAGATTCAGCATTGTAATTATCACTAATTGGGCAGAAGTGTGTATTTTTCCAATTTCCTCAAAAGTTATCCATAATTATGGCCAGGCACAGTGGCTCATGCCTGTAATCCCAGCACTTTGGAAGGCTGAAGCAGACGGATCACTTGAGGCCAGGAATTCAAGACCAGCCTAGTCAACGTGGTGAAATCCAATCTCTACTAAAAAATACAAAAAATTAGCTGGGCATGGTGGTGCACACCTGTAATCCCAGCTACTCAGGAGGCTGAGACAGGAGAATCATCTGAACCCAGAAGGTGGAGGTTGCAATGAGCTGGGATCGAGCCATTGCACTTCAGAGCAAGACTCTGTCTCAATAAATAAATAAATAAACACATAAATACATAAATAAATAAAATTGCTTAAATTTGACTCGTTTTTACGTTAATTATGACAAATTCTAATATTAAGACAAAACATATGCAAAATATCTGTAACTCAGCAAATTTCTATCTATATTCCTAAAAGGAAAAGACAAGATAAAAAATAAGGATAATTGGTGAGCTGGATACCGGCACTGGAGCTGGACGTGGGAAACATTTAGAGAGAGGAAGAGCAGGTTTCACTGAGAACTTAGACATCATCCTGAGATCTCTCTTCCCTTCACCTCACAAGCAGCAGCTCTGTGCATCTCCTAGGGGCAGGGCAAAAGGATAGGGCAAAGTGTTTTCTATACATGGGTATAAACGTTTGTCATTATATTGACATGTATATTGAGATGTCAGACTCACTTCACACCGAAGGATAATAAGGATAATAATTTGGTCTCTTAGGGGACTAGGATTTAAATAATCAGTTTATGGGCCGAGCATGATGACTCATGCTTATAATCTCAGCACTTTGGGAGGCCAAGGTGGGAGGATGGCTTGAGCTCAGGAGTTCAAGACCAACCTGGGCAACATAGCAAAACCCCGTCTCTTAATAATAATAATAATAATAATAATAATAATGCCTATGGCTAAGTAGCCCTTCACAATTTAGAGAGTTCTCATTTCTATCTCATCTGCACTGTACAAGGTATTCCAGGCCTACTACACTTTTCAATGAGATAATGATACTTGACCCATATACAGTGAAAAGGTGGCATAGACTGAACTCAAACCTAGAAAAAGGTAAACAGAACAATGAGCTGAGTGTTCTATCAAGCTTACAATGAGAAAATGGGTAATTACTCAAAAGTTCTTTGAAAGGTAGATACTGTAGACATCTAAAGAGAACTTCAGTGAGTTCTTTTTCATCCTGTACATGACTCCAAACTTCTGGAATGCAATGTGTCAATATTTTGAGAAGTATTTTTTTTCTTTCAAGATTATAAGTATGCTGGGAGAGACCGTCTCAAAAGTACACTTAAAAGGTTTCAGCTAAGATAAGAAACTTCTTTACAAGAAATCTTGCTAAATCCAATTTACTTGCAAAGGCATATCTATTTTCAGATTACTATAACATTAAGAGGAAAAAATTCTCCAACAAACGCAGATTACAATAAATGACACATGCTTATCCCATTAAACTAGTGGTTCTCAACTCTGGCTGTCTTAAAATCATTGGGGAGCTTTTAAAAGAACACTGATGCCCCAAGCCATACCCAGGACAGTCTGATTTTATTGAGCTGGTGAGGAGCCCACTCTCTGATGTATATGTATGTGTTTTAGGTTCCCTGGGTGATTCTAACGGGCAGCCAGGGTTAAGAACCACTGAACTACAAATGTACATTACATATTAAGCAGTATTCATTAGAGGGCATAACTTGGACCATCTTATAACCATGACAGACAAAGAGTTGAAAGAAATAAAAATAATGTTGTCATGGGAGCATTAGGTAATAACTGCAGGGCTGAATAACCCTGCAGTTAAGTACATGGTTCACATTTCAAGGACATTTGAAATAGACAAATTTGGTAATGTTGCAAATCCAGAGACCAGTGTCTCACCACATACTATTAAGCCATCAGCTCTTCCTCCCTGGACTAGTTGCCCATGTCTTAACACACCCTTTTAAAAGAAGTATTCAGTAACCTCTTTGCTTATTCATTCTGACTCTTCTCCCAGTAGTACATCACTGGAAAGTCCAGAGGAAGAAGTTTTGCAATTTCAAATGAGGAAATGTGGTTTAATTTCACAGTTTAGTGTACTCAGTGCTCATGAAGAAAACAATGTAGCATTTTGATAGATACGTGCATAGGTAAACCTATAAAAGAAAGGAGAGTACCTAGATATTGAAGGTATTGGCAAGGCATAGCTCTTGTAAAACAAAAGCTGGTTGGCCAGATATTCTCATTAGTTTCAATCTATTCTTTGTCAAACAAAAGTGATTTCACTTTACAGGAAGAGGGTTTGTCAAATGTGTACGTTTTATCCCAAACTGCTATGAGACAAAAATCAAAGTATTTGTCTTTCCAGTAACCACACTTAAGGAAAAAAATGTCATGCAGCCTCATACAAAATTTTGAACTAGTTCCTAATACATACATCAAGAGGTGATAAAATATGATTATGCCTATAACATTATTATTCTGTAAATAATTCATATAAATCCTCAGGCTCAAGATGACCAGTTATTACAATTCCTAAACCTATGCAGTAAACATCATGTGATTTATATTTCATATTCTGAGTAAAATGAAGTTAAGAGAGAAATGAGAATTAGAAAAGGAGACCAGGAAAGAATTAGCAGAAATAAAAGTAAAAAGGACAGATAGTGGCAAGAAAATAGTTTTAAAAAAAAAAAAAGTGAAAACAATGTGACTAACGTAACCTTCTGGCCCCCAAATCAATCTAGGAATATATAGGAGGCAACATAAAAAAAGTACTATTCTTGAATCAGTCACTTGGTAAAATATACCACTTCCCTGGCAAAGATTACAATATTTGAAAGACAAGTCAATCTGGTGTTTCATAAATCCAAGACTAATAAAAGCAGGCAAGAAAATCTACATCCTTTCCAGTCTTCAATATTGACATTTAAATGTTAGAAAACTTACATATTGTGGATCTTATTTTCTTGAAGATGTGATCAATCCCAACAAGGGATTGAGCACTGGATGCAAAAATCAACATGTAAGATCTGTTACAGTGCTGTATACCAGCAACAGTTACAACATGCCATGTTTTTAAGTGTGCTAGTTATGAGAGCAACAAAAAATAACCTAGGATGAAATCTAGCAAAACATGTGCAGAACCTTCATGGAGAAAATTCTAAGACTTATTAAGAGTCATTTAAAAAGATCTAAATAAATAATGAGCTATACTTTATTCATAGTTAGGAAGATCCAATATCGTAAAGATGCCAATTCTCCCCAAGCTGATCTATAGAGGCAATGTGACTAAAGGAAATCCAAATCAACTCTTTTGTGAAATCTGACAGGCAGATTCAAAAATATATATATGAAAAAGCAAAGGGCATACAACAGCTAAGACATGAAGAATACTAAGGTGAGGGGAGTTACCCTACCAGTTCTCAATACTTATCATATAGCATAGTTATTAAGATGTTGTCATGGCCTGGCACGGTGGCTCACGCCTGTAATTCCAGCACTTTGGGAGGCCGAGGCGGGCAGATCACTTGAGGTCAGGAGTTTAAGATCAGCCTGACCAATATGGTGAAACTCTTTCTCTACCAAAAATACAAAAATTTGCTGGGAGTGGCAGCGCATGCCTGTAATCCCAGCTACTTGGGAGGTTGAGGCAGGAGAATTGCTTGAACCTGGGAGGCGGAGGTTGCAGTGAGCTGAGATCGTGCCACTGCACTCCAGCTTGGCGACAGAGCCAGACTCTTAAAAAAAAAAAAAAAAAAAAGTTATCAAGTTGAGATAATGGAACAAAATAAACTCAGAAAAGGAGACCTACATAAGGCAGCTTGATGTGACAGAAGGGGCTTTGTTGTGAGAACTAAAAGGACTATTTGGTTGATAATATTGAAACAATTAGCTATTAATATTTTTTTTAATTGGACTCCTACATATCACATAAAAATAAATTCTAGGTGGATTAAAATCAAAAATGTAAAAAAGTCATAAAGCTTCTAAAAGTTAATATTAAAAATGTCTTCACGACTTCAAAACAGGGAGGACTTAAGAGATCCTAAAAGGTACAAACTATAAAGAAAAACTCCTAATTTAGACTACATTAAAATTAAGAACTCCTGTTTATCAAAGGCACCATCACAAACTGAAACAAAAGTGATAGATTGAGCGAAAAATATCTGCAACATATGTGATAAACAAAGAACTAGAATCCCAAAAACATAACTCCTAAAACAATCAATTAAAAAAAATAGGAAAGTGGACAAAAGGATGAATAGACATTTCACAGGCGGGGAAATTCAAATAGCCGGTAAATACATAGAGATGCTCAACCACGGAGCACAATGAAACAATTAGTCCTACCAGTTTGACAAAAAAAAAATTTTTTAATCCTGAACTGTCAAGGGCTTGTGAGGATAGTGAGTATCAGAAACATTTCCACACCACAAATTGGAGTGTTAATAAGTACAACACTTTGGAAAACAATTTGGCACCGCCCAGGAAAGATGAAGATGTGCACAGCCTATAACTCAGCAACTCCGCTTTTAGATATACATTCTAGAGAAACCTACGCCTGTGTGCACCAGGTGGTAAGAGTACTGACCATATAGCAAACCCCAGAAACCCCCCAAAAGCCACCCACTGGAAAAATAAGTTGGGTTCCCTAGGAAGCACTCTGAGACAGAGTTTACTACCCAGTATATTCATTAGGGAGTGCTCAGGAAAGTGGGATTAACACCCGTAAGAGGAAGGAGAAGGAAGCAAGTCCTGGTAGGGTGAGAAGTCCAGCAGCAATGCAGGCCCAATATCCTCAGGTGACCTTGGGCCTACCACAGAGGAAGCTTCAGAACCGAAATGGAGTTGTCCCATGTTCAATCAAAATGGCCAGGCCTTTAAAGCCCACTCAATCTCATGTGGTCCATACCCAAAAGGAAGTGAAGTTGGGTAGGGCAGCCCTCTTGCCAGGCAATCCCTGAAGGGGCTGACAGTTGAAGACCGCCTGCTGACTATACTCACAGCATCTGGGACAAACTCTTCTTTGAAAGGAAAATCTAAGGGGTGCATCTCCATGTCCACCATCATGTTGAATTCACACGATGGAACACTATATGGCATTAATTAATACAAATTAATAACTTGCAGCTAGCCAGTCAATATGAGTACATCTCACAATATTGAGAAGGAAAATAAGCAAAAGGAATACATACAGTATGCTTTAAAGTTCACAGGCAAGCAAAATGAAATATTTTGCCGAGGGAGATATACATATGGGCTAAACTACAAAGTCAAAGTAATGTTAAAATATAAAAATTTAAATGGTTGCTAACCTAGGAGGTGAGGATGAGAGAAAGAAAGAGAATCAGAAAGGAGCACATAAGAGCCTTCAAGAATCTTGACATTGCTGTATTTTTAAGCTGGGTAGTGGGTACATGGTTTTGCTTTGGTTTTTTATTATTTACAGCTACATGTTAAAATATTCTTTTATGCAGCTGTTTTGATTTTTAACAAATATCTTCTTTTATTTCAGGAGAAACCATTTTCTCAAAAGTTCAACCCAGAACCAGGAGCAAATGCAGTAACCAAATCTGATCTCTTTCCTCCTTGACCCCTTTTTGACCAAAATACTATCTTATAGGCACAGAATTTCCATGGCTGACTTAGCCCAGCTCTCTGTTTTGTCAGGAATATGTCATACATATTTCATGAGAATTACTTAGCACCTCTAAGAAAACTTCAATTGTATTTGTTGATGTAAAAATATTAAGGCTTCAAATTTAGAAAGCAAGTGTGCATAGAGGAGGCATTACAATGGTACAATTATTCATAATTTACATTTGAAAAGCTGGAACTTTGAAAGGATAATGATTTGCACAAATGTATGTAGTAACTGCTGTGCTAGAAATGAGACAGAATCTCAGATTTCCCTGACACTGCTATAAATTACACAACAGGAATTAATTTGTGTGGGGGTATTTTTGAGCTACCACCCACCGGTGATTATCAGAGGTGATAATTATCTTAGTATAACAGGGCTAATATCTTGCCAAGACATTTGCTCTGAAAGAGCAAAATACTACCAGTATCAGAAAAGCTAGTATTTTCAGAAAGTACCTTCTGAGGACCTAGAGCTATCTGTTGTTTAGTGGAAGGTCAATACACAAGTTTATATTTCTTCAGAGATGAGCGAAAGATACAAGGAAGCCAGGTCCAAGTGGATCACACACAGCTTTTCAAGCACAACACACATTACTGAAACGTAAGACTGTGGCATTTCACACTTCATCTAACTTCTCATTTGCAGACACCTGCCATTTAGCAAAATAAAGTGGGAGTCCAGAAAAAGGAGTACTTCGTGGTAAAAGACAGAGCTGCCTGTTGTATTTCAAAAAGTTAAGCCTTCAAAAACTTTTCAGACATTTGGGCGACTTTTTTTTTTTTTTTTTTTTGAGATGGAGACTTAACTGTTGCCCAGGCTGGAGTGCAGTGGCGCGATCTCGGCTCACTGTAACGTCTGCCTCTCAGGTTCAAGCGATTCTTCCGCCTCAGCCCTCCCGAGTAGCCGGGATTACAGGCGCGTGCCACGACGCCCAGCTAATTTTTGTATAAAATTCTTCTTTGACCACCCTCCCCACCTCGAAAAAAAGTAAAGCCTTACTAATCATGACACTAATGCAAACTCAACGCATACGCTACACAAACATATAACTCCTTATTTGGAACTAATAATATTCCAAGCCAAGGAAACCTACAAATAATTCCGCTATAGTCACAGGAGAGTGTGAAGATACAAGATAGCAATGTTGGATATGCAACTTACATCAATAAAAATTTCACCAGCGTTTAGGGAAAGGAGTTGTATATGTGGGTCATTTAATAAACACTTCCGAAAAACCCACTTCCAAATTTACCGAAGTGGACAACGCCCTACACGCAAGGTGAGACCCACAGGCATCGCTGCTTTGAAGCTGCATGTAAGCTCTGAAGCTCCAACATTTACAGAAGACTTTAAAAACTTTGTGAGAAATCACAACGTTCTCCTTCTTTAAAGTAGATCAGTGCTGGGAAGGCTCAAAAGTCACTTTCACTCCCTTACCGAATCATCAAAAAGCCCCGAGGTGGCTGGACCGGGAGCGGAGCATCTCGCGCGCAGCACCAGCCTGCACAGGTGCGGAGCTCGGGGGCGCCTGGGGGCTCTCGCTCCGCAGCCCGGAGGCGGCCCCTGCCCTCTCGCGCCTCTAGCGCCGAGCCCCGTGTCCCCTGAGCCACGGACACGGTTCAACAGAGGCAGAAACACGTCTCGCAAATGTGGGGACAAACTGTTCCACTGTTGGATATAGGGTGGTTTCCTTGGTGGTCACGGATTCTTTCTCAAAACGTGAAGCTTCCAGGAGCACCCCTGAAGCTTCCAGGAGCACCCCTGTCTCGGCAAAGCCCCTGCGCGGCCGATGAACCCCGCGGGAGGTGGGATGCGACCGCTGGGCTGAGCACGACCCTCTGCCCTCGCCGTGAGGTGATGCTGAGGGAACCGCCAGCGTCCCGGCCCCTCCGCCAACGGAGAATTGCCGCGGGCCGGCAGCGAGCCAGGCGCCTCAGGCCCCGCCGCCACCTGGCCCGGGCTCTGCCCCCAGACCTTCCGCTGTGGCCAGGTGAGGGTGGCAAAGCCAAAACAGCCCTCTGAGGAGGGGAGCAGCGCCCTCGCACCAGCCTCCACAGGGCGGCAGGGCTCCGAGTTGCTCCCCGCCGGGTCGTAGCCCGGGGGCTATGAGGGACTCCCACTCCCCGCCCCCACCCCGCCCCGACGCGCGCCTCCAGCACCTGAGCCGCCGCTTCCGGCCCCGCTGGCCTCGGACGCCGCCCGCTGCGCCCGCAGCCACAGGAGCACGTCCTTCCCGAGGTCGAAGTCGGCGACGAGGCGGAGAGCCATCGCCCGGACACGGCCACCGGGCGGCTCTGGGGCCCCGCGCCGCGGGCATTCCCGGCCCCGCGTGGCCGCCTCGCCCTAGCGTGCCCGCGCCCGCCCCCTCCTTCCTCTCCCCCGCCCCCCGCTGCTTTCGGTTCCGCGGCGCCCTCGCCTGAGAAGCCCCGGCACCACCTCCTCCTGGCCCGCGGCCCTCAGCCGCTGGCGGCCCGCACCTGCCCCGGAGCCGGGCATGGCGGGTAGGGGTGGGGCGGGGAGGACCGGGCGGCAGGACCAGGCCCGCCGGGGCGGGAGGCCTCCGCGCGCACCCTCGGGGCGAGGATAGAGGGCGCAAGGACGTGGGCGCTTCAGGGCCCTGGCGAGGCCGCTAGCCCAGTGGTTTCCAAACCTGGAGGGTAGGCCTATTTTCTTTATTCCCCGAGTGACCACTGTGCAGCAAAGTGTGGAAACCACTTGGCTTCAGAGAGCTGGGTCCCCTGGAGCAGTTCAGGGTCACCACAGAAGTAGGCCGTCTCTTAGGCCTATTCGCCCCAGCTTCGAGGTGGTGGTGCTTTATTAGTGTTATTAAGGTAATGAGTAGCAACTGGGAGCAGGTGACGAAGGTGATCCCATTGT